AGCAGGCTGAACGTTGAAAAATCAGTAAACCATGTCCATTAAGATCAGTGAGACAGCGATGCAAGGCATTGCCTTATTAACACTGTCCTCAAAGTGCTAGCCAGTGGATAATGTGATTTTCCACCTGAATACACAAGAAAATCAAATGCGAATCAACACACACCAAAAAAACTTTTAGAAAGTTACTTGTTTCAAAGATGACAAATAAAAAGTTTACTTGTGCCTCAAAATTGATTTGCAGAGGGGCTGGAGAGATGGCTCAGTGGTCTAAAGCACCTACTTAGAATAAGCTTGGCAAAGCACAGGGACCGCGGTTCAATCCCCCAGCACAACATGACAGCCAGCCCCGCCCCCTGGTGGGCTGAGCTGACCACACACACACACACACACACACACACACACACACACTCTCTAAATAAATGTTAAAAAAAAATTAAAAAAAAAATTGATTGCAGAATAATGAAGAATAACAGAAGACATCAAAACAGTCCATTCCGGGATATCTTGAATGTAAAGCTTAGTTCACAAAACCACAAAGTTTCCAGACATAGCATTGTTAGATATAAATAAAACATGCTAGGATGTATTTCAATTCATTTGATTCTGTTTAAAGTGGAAACATGGAGGAGGGTTGGGAGAGTGGAGAGGAAAATAGACACATTCTTTGACGCCTTTCTGACACACATGTAGCAGAACATGGACACGGTATCCACTGCAAGAGAAGTTTGAAATGCATACACATATGAATGTGAGGGTAAGCACAAATACTTTTAAAGACAGCATAAAAAACAAAGTAGTGTTTCCAAACCATCAAGCAACACCCACGTCTCATGGCCCTTAAAATTATGGTGACACAATTATTTTTTTATACTTGAACCATGTGTAGAGAAGTCACTTCAATTGTTCAAATTACACAGAATCACTCTAAAGGCTGGACTGATCCAAGCAAGGAGAATTTCTCACTATATTTTAGACATTTATCTCTGAGTAGTAAGTAAAAGTCTTAAGAAAGGCTTTCATTTCCCTAGTTCATGTTGCTTTCAGATTTTTGAATAAGTCTAAATTTTCTTCAATGAATTAAGAAGTCACTGCTTTACTTATTTGTATCTTTTCATGCTCTCTGAATGTCAGCTTAAGTAATCTTCTAATAATATATAAATCCCTGTGAAACAGTAATTGGAAATTTATTTGAAAATTATAATTTGAACTCTCCAATAGGTACACAGGTTCCTAAATGTAATCATTATATGTTCTTTTCAATTCTTTTAATCTTGTACTTGGTGTGAAACTTATATTCTAGGAATGTGGCACAGCCCTCTGTTTTGTTTTAGGTTTTGTTGTTTGTGGGCAATGTACATGGAATTCTTCTCAGAGTTGAGTCTTCACATAATTGTTGTCAGAAGGTGATTAAAGAATGATTCCTCATCCCCAAGACAGGACAACTTCTCATCCTACTTCCCCAGGCAATCTTACTCTGGACATCTGCTATTTTCATAATTAACAAAATGTAAAAGGTCTTTCAAAAATTTATCAATGAATAAAAACAGCATGCCAAAAATTCACTTGGGGTCAGAGTCCTAGGAAGAGAACCGCACCTCCTTCCAACAGCATTCTCTGCTTTTGTGGGTCTCTTGCCCTCCCATCCTGAAAGTGCCTGATAGCATCTAATTTAGTGAGAATGTAGCGATGGGACTAAGCGCCCCGCGCCACACACCAGGCCAGGGCCCCCAACACACTCTATCCGCTCATAGGCTTGCTCCTGTCAGCCACTGTATGTAGACAGAGAAGTGGGACTGGGCGCATTTATCAGAGTCATCTGTTTGCCAAATCTCCTTGACATTTAAGCCACATACCAAATTCTTTCATCGCTGTTTACACTTGATTTACCAATAAATCAATGAACAAACTAAGCAATAAATCACGTTCTCTCGAGCACTTTACATTGCTATGGCACAGAATCCAAATTTATAGAGGTTCTTAGCCCGGTACCCGTACCTCAACCTCCACAAATAATATGATCCGTGGTGGGTATACTGCATTTCATCTTCCTAGGGAGACAGGAAATAGCCCTCATTAGAGTATCAAAGGGCTAAAAAAATTCAGGGCAATCTTGGGAGTTTACATTTCTAAAAGGACTATAATCAGCACAGGTTTTTAAAAAAATCCCTGAGGAAGAGAGGCTGTATAATATATATATATATTTTTTTTTTTTTTTTTTTTTTTTTTTTGGTGGAACCGGGGATTGAACTCAGGTCCTTGCGCTTGCCAGGGAAGCGCTTATTCCACTGAGCCATCTCCCTGGCCCCCTGTATAATATATTTAAGGTAATGAGATCACACGACATAATGTGGGCAACAATGTGCCTGACAAGGCCATTTTGATACCATCATTTGGTGATTTTACCAGTACTAATTTCCCAAGATTTGTCAGCCACTCTTTTGTTTGTTATTTGTCGTCTGAACTTGGCTGATGTGTTTTAAAAGAGTGATGGGGTAATGTCATAATGCGTGTTCTAACAGCAAAAATAACTGAAAGATGGTAACAGAAATGATCAAAGCACAGCACAAAGATGTTCTGGCCAAAACAGGAAATAGAAGATTTCACCTCTATGCTGTGAAACTAACAGTTTATAATCCCACACTGAGTACATGAAAATTCCTAATAAGACACCAAGTGACCTTGAATAGCTCATGTCCTTTTCTCTGGAGCAATTTCTTGTCAACATATTGCTGAGGTACAGTGATGAGTTGGCTAAAAAAAAAAAAAAAAAGTTCCTGAGCTAACCCTTGTATATTGCTGGGAACATAAAATAGTATAGCTACTATGGGGAAAAAATGGTCTGACAGTTCTTCAAAATGTTAAAAATAGAAGTACCATGTGATGGAGCAATTATACCTCTATAAACCCTGAAGAACTGAAGACATGAGTCTGGAATAGATGCGATACATCCATGTCCCCAGCAGCATTATTCACATTAGACAAAATATGGAAACCAACCACATGTCCGTTAGTGAATAATTGGGTAAAGAAAGTGTGGTACAAGATGTCTGACAATATTATTCAGTCAGATGGAAATTCTGACGCTTGTACAACACGGCTGCAGCTTGATGACACTGTACTACGTTAGACAAACCAGACACAAAAGGACAAAGACTCTGCTTCCATTTATATGAGGTACACAGAGCAGTCAAATCTATAAGGAAAGAAGAAAGATTATTACCAGGCTCTGCAGGAAGGACACAGACAATGTTACATTGGATACAACGTTTTGGTTTAGAAGATGAGAAAGTTCTGGAGATGGGTAGTGGTGGGGGACATAGAACAAGGTGATAAACTTCATGCCACAGAAAATGTTTCTGAATTATCAGCTATAATGACTTCGATGATAGGCAGAAATTATATTTTTACTACTTGGTGGTGAGCTTTTATCTTCTTTCCTTAATCTGCTATAGTTGTTATGCCACTCTGTATTACCTCCATATTTAGACACACATTGTTACTGAATATATACTGCGCTGTGTTTATCAATTTTGCAAGATCCTTAGGGTGGGGACTATATGACCGTTATCACCAAAGTCACAAGTTACAAGAAGAAAATAAACCATTGTTTACTGAGTTTATTATTTCAGTTAAGACTTAAATCTTTTATTTTGGCCCTCTTTCTCTTCAATGAGGTGGCTGAGCGGCAGACACAGATAAGCAGATCTTTGTGAAGATGTTGACAGGCAAGACCATCACCCTCAAGGTCGAGCCCAGTGACATCATTGAGAATGTCAAAGTCAAAATCCAAGGGCCAGGGAGATGGCTCAGTAGAATAAGCGCTTCCCTGGCAAGCACAAGGGCCTGAGTTCAATCCCTGGTTCCACAAAAAAACCCCAAAAAACAAAAAACCAAAATCCAAGACAAGGAAGGCATCCCACCTGACCAGCAGCATCTGATATTTGCCAGTAAACAACTGGAGGATGGTCAGACTCTCTCTGACTACAACATCCAAAAAGAGTCCACCTTGCACCTGGTGCTTCACCTGTGAGGTGGGATCATCAAGCCGTCCCCACGCCAGCTTGCCCAGAAGTACAAATGTGACAAGATGATCTGCTGCAAGTGCTATGCCCACCTGCATCCCCATGCTGTCACCTGCTGCAAGAAGTGTGGCCACACCAAGAACCTGCACTTCAAGAAGAAGGTAAAGTAAAGCTCAGCCAGTCCCTCGTCCAGAAGGGCACCACCTGCCCAACGCCTGCAGCCTTGGGGCCTGAATAAAGTTTCCCTCCCTTGACTAGAAAACAAAAATCTTTTATTTTATCATTAAACATAGTTAGTTGTTCTCACACACTGTCTATAGACAGCTACCTTATGTAAGTTGTTTTTAACTGTTTCTCTAATGACAATCTAAATAATTTCCTACTTGTTCAGTAATCAGCTGAAGAGAGACTATACAAAGTTCAACATTCGTTGGGGAAAAACATCTTGATCTCCTAAAAAAGGCTGCTAATGGTAGTCCAGAGGCCGGGGCATTCACAGCATTTGTTCTCCCTGGTGCTGAGTTTTGCATTAGGAATACAGAACAGAGGCAGCAGCATTAATTTTTTCTAAACACCGTTGATGGGTCAGCTTGACCACAAAGAATTACAGCACCTACCACCTACCTAATTTACTAGCCATCTCCTAACCTAATTACAGATATGTCATAGGAAGACGAGATGCTATCATCCTTCTAAAATATCAATGCTCATAGAAGCCACTAAGAACATATTACAGCACCCACAATTCACTTGCATGGGCTCAGGGTGTGATTGATTTCTGCCCGGCTCATCCTTTAGAAATAGGCCATTAGCAATTCGAAATGTACCAGGATGGTAGGCTGAATGCCACTTAAATGCTTCAAGTGGGAATTCTGATATTTTTGAAAGCCAACTATCAAACACCATTGGATCTTATGGTTATTTTTTTGTTTACTTGTTTGTTTTTAATTTTATACTAAAGAAAATCTCTTGGATTACCTGGATTTGAAACTAATTCCAATTCTGGCATTTTCTATATGCAAATACAGGTAATTTATTCAATCTGTGTTTCAGTTTCTTCTCCTATAACAAGGATAATAACTGTACTTCAGGGAGCTCTGAGTTCAATCCCCAGTACTGCAAAAAATAAAAAATAAATGTAAATTTAAAAAAAAAGGAGAAGTAAATAATCCATGCCAAATGCTTACCATTATCATCCTTCCTCTTTTAAACCCAGTCTCCAAGTTACTCTGTGAGAGAACACAGCCTGAGGGGACACACTGCGTGTCCTTGCACTTTGCTTCCTTGAAGGTAGCAGGTCCAAAGAGTTCCAACTTTGTGGCTGATTTGATCTATGACACGACTTGATTCAAAACATTTCATGAAAAAAAAATTCTATGCTAGTTTTCCATCAAAGCATAATCATCAAAAGGACATGTATACTTCTTTAAAAATTTACAAAAATAGAAACTAATGTATAAGTATATATTGTCAAATGGATTTTGTAGCAGTCCTTATTAGAAACATAATTCACTTATCAAAGGAAAATAAGAGAATGACTAAATATCACACTTATTATTTTAGTGTCAAAATACTTTGGATATATATTGCTAGAAAAGAATGGGCCTCCTGATGATTTGACAAATTATATATGAGGTGCAGATATGGCATTAATCGTGTAAATTATAACTAAAAAGGAAATGAATTTGGAAGGGCCTAAGCTCAAGTCTTCCTTTTGCTCTAGGGTATATGGTCTTGGGTTTCAGTGAAGATACAAAGTGGAAAAGATGCATCTGAGTCCAGTGTACCTCCCAGGATTTCATGTGAATGAAGAAAGAAAGAAAAAGTAGTTTAAAACACATACTCACTCAAACACTAGGGTAAAGCTTGCAGGCTGAAAACAGAATCTAGTTTACTCAAAAACTCCATGGACATCTTAAAACAACAGTAGAGGGTTTTCTCTTTTTAAGAAAAAAAAAAGTTAAAATCTACAAGGTGGGAAGACAGGAGACAATAACAGCAGATACCTGAGTCATGGCGGTATACTGTCACAAAGATAGTAGTGGAAGGTGAAAGAATAGAAAGAAGATTTAAAGTGCCACTTGACATTGCGTTGGTATGAAAAAGCTACTTCTCCTCACCTCCAAGCATGTGAAATGCCAGTGTTAAATTTCTATTAGGAGGTTCTGCGAGAAGACCATGGGACTGGAATGTCACCTGGGAACTTAGTAGAAATGCACATGCTTGATTATGCCCTTGACAGTGAAGCAGAAACGCTGAAGGGCATTCTCAGCTGGGGTAGTTAACTGCTGTGTTAACTAGAGTAAGAAATGCCCAACTGGTTGGATTAGCATAGTTCTCAGTGTGACTGACTGAATGAATATTTACTGAAGATGGAAGAACCACTGCGGGTGTGAGTGACACCAACCAATAGGCTTGTGGCCTGGATGGAATGAAAAGGGAAAGACGAAGCAAGACTGGCTTGAGTTTCTTCAGAGGAGCTCCCTCTTCACCCTTACCTTAGAGGTTCCAACCCTTCAGCCTGCCACCAGGTACAGGTGCACGGACTGCCAGCTGGGTCCCCTAATTGAGATCCAACACCATACCAGGGCACAGCCAGATAGTACTAGACACCGAGTCACTCCCAAGTCATGGACTTGAAGCCTCAAAATTAAAGGAACTGCTAAGATGTTTCCTCAGAAGTTAAAAACATTTTGGAGTAAAAGTTTAATAAAGCACTTAGTATCCAACATTTATAATTGTTAAGTGTCTTTATACTACAAAACTAGTTCTAAAGTCTTTAGGAAGCTTATGGAAATAATTTCTACATAAACACAATACAGTATTTATTTATAAATAAAGAAGAAAATAAGTCAAAAGTATCTTTTGGGCTGGGGAGATGGCTCAGTGGAATAAGCGCTTCCCTGGCAAGTGCAAGGGCCTGAGTTCAATCCCCGGTTCTGCCAAAAAAAAAAGAAAAAAGAAAAAAAAAGAAAAAGGAAAAAAAAAGTATCTTTAATGAATAACAGCTTTTCAATTATCCAATAATCTTTGCAATGGCAACAATTCTTGGATTTCAAAATCAGAAACTAAAAAAACAACATTGGCACTGTCTTCAACTATGCCATCTACAAAGTTTTTTTTTTTTTGCGGAACCGGGGATTGAACTCAGATCCTTGCGTTTGCCAGTCAAGCACTTATCCTACTGAGCCATCTCCCCAACCCTACAAAGTTTTTATGTAAGGGATCAGACAGGAAACATTTTAGGCTTTGAGAACCATACAATCTATTACAGCTACTCAACACAGCTATTGTAGTGGAAAACCACCCACAGACAAAATGCAAACCAATAAACAGGGCTGTGGTCAATAAAACTTTATTGGCAAAACAGGCTGCAAGCCAAATTTGGCCCATGGGCTATAGCTTACTAGGTTCTATACCAAACTCATGACTCATGAGAATGAGTTCTTGGGGCCCGATGCTGGAGGGTACTTCTAAAGACACAGGATATCAGACAGCCTCCAGGGTAGGGAGGCACATTACTCTGCATGGAAGCTGACATGTCATTTATGCAGTGGATTCTGGATTCAAGAGTTTGTGCTAACTTCAACAGTCTCCCCTAACATCTAAAAGATGACAGGGTATGCTTAGCCATACATAAATGGAAAAACAGCAAGACAGACCATGGAAACTTTTTTTTTTTTTCAGAGTAAACTGTTATACGTGATACTAGTTTTCACTAAAGTCACTACAAGAAAAGATCTGCTAAATTTTATCTGAAAGTAAAAATTAAAAACAACCTAGTCCAGGAATATTTCAGGAAAATGCAGAATTTTTAAAAAGAAAAAAAAAGCTTGAGAATTGCTAAGGCAGTAGAGTCTAAAAATGTTCTCACCACACACACACACACACAAATGGGTAACGAGGTAATGTTAATTAGTTTGATTTACTCTTGCCACATTGTACACATATTTCAACACAATATGTTGTACATGATGAGTAACTACAATTTTGTTAATTAAAAATTTTTAGAAAAAAATTTAACGTTGTGGTGGCCCACATCAATTTATTTGACTAGAAGAATGTGAAAATACTAAAACCTCTTCTCACCCTGCTTCTCAAAACACCTCTGAGTAATCTACAGGATATCTCTTCTAAACATTAAATGCAACTATTTGTTCTTAGTCATAAAGTCAGTTCATGAATACCTTAAAAACACCTGAGAGTAGTTTAATATTTCCTTTCATAAGACCTATTCATAGTTACTGTTTGACTAGTTTTGAGAAATCTGAAATTTTCTTTCTTTTTTTTTTTGTGGTATTGGGAATTGAACTCAGGACATTGTGCTTGCCAGGCAAGCACTTATTCTACTGAGCTATCTCCCCAGCCCGAACTCTAAATATTTTTAATAATTATTAAAATTGTCCTGTCGTTTCTTCTGTCCTTGAAATAAATTACGAAAACATATCTATTTACCACTTTTCATTCTAAATCCATGTTGATTTTCCTTCTTAACCATGCTCAAAAATTCACAGTACCCATGATTATATGGTAATCATACCCATGAAATGAACTGTCTCAGTTACTCTTCTCTAATTGCTAGGACAAATACCTGACATCCACAATGAGGGAAGGAAAGGTTTATTTAGCTCACAGTTACTGGAGCTTTCAGTCCCTATTTGCCTGGCTCCAAGGCAGAGGGGCACAGGGCAGAGAGCATCCAGCTCATGGCAGCTGAACAACGATGGCAACGGAGTCTGACTCTCTGTCTCTCTCATATTCCATTCAGGCTCTCTGCCCCAGGATGGGGAAAATACTCACACTGATCATCCCAGCAGTACTAAGACTCATAAGCTCAGTGGATCATGAGTTAATCACAAACTCTAGATGTCCCTGCCCCATGACTGCATGAAGCTTTGGGGGGACAACTAGACACAAACCATAACATGAACCAACACATTTTTTTCTAAGTATGAGATTACTAGTGAGATGGTAGGAAAAAATAGTTGAAATATAAAGTGAATCCGACTACCTAGGATGTGTAGTCACTGAACAAGTGGAGATGTTGCTAATTCTCTGATTTTCTGAAGACTTCATTAATATCTACTCTTTGAATAAAGTACTTAAAAAGAAAAAGGAGGAGGAGGAGAAAGAGGGGAATGGAAAGGGGAAAAAGAGAGGGGGGGAAAGACTAAAATCTCATTGAACTCTCTTGGCTTCTGAAGATTCCTGCTGTTTTTCCTAACAGTTTTATTTCATTTTACCCTGAAACCTGTTGTGTAGATTTGTTGCACGCAGAGTTTAGATGAAGGCTCACTGTGTTGCCTGCCAACATCCAATTGCTCAGGCCTCGTTTGTGGAAAAGGCTATTCTCCTTTCACAGAGTTTCTTTTCCACCTTTGTCAAACATTAGTTGAGCATAAAAAAGGGAAAAATATCAAGTAACTTGCTTTGTAAGTTCTATTAGTTTGATGCAATCTAAGTAGTTAAACGGAAGCATTTTTTAAAAAGGCAGGATTTCTCTAGTCCAAAAATCAGCCAGGGGACCCAAGTCTTGAATTCAAGGGCATTCACAAGATGGGTTCTCAATGCACACCATTCTCCCTTCTCTGCTTAACTGTTTTTTTCATCTTTGCAAATCTAAGCAATACTATACTTGATTTAGTATCCATTCTGGCATTTCTTCGCCAGTACCTTTTATTAAAAAAAAAAAAAATTGTTTTATTTTGGAATAACTTCAGGCTTGCACAAAATTTCAAAGATATTACAGAGATTTCCCATATACTCATCACCCAGGATATTCTGCAGTTACTACTTGCTTTTTGGAAACTGGCAAAAGAAAAAGTGTTAGCCATGTATAGTGCCCCCTGAACCAGCAAGAAAACACATTTGGCAATAAAATCCAATATGCAGCTATTGTTTACGTAAGCTAGACAGTATTTGCAAGTTTAGTATTCAAATTATTAATCAAGTGATCAGCTGCCCCCTTCAGCTCCCAAGTGTCACCTCAGAGTAGGCACAATGCCTGCTACCATCCCCTGCAACACTGTTTTCCTTTCATGGACAGCATCACTAGTGCCCTTGTTCATGTACTGCTCCTTCTCTATCCCCAAAGACCTCCCTGTCTTGCTTCT